CTTTGTTTCATAACTTTTGTATTCGTACTTGATGTCGTTTTATACTTGTAAAGTTTATTTTAAAGACGATAGTCTTTCTTGGGGACCTTCGACAAAAAAATTTTGGTCTGTCTGTCTGTACATTTGTCGGTTTGTCCACATTAACGATACCTCAAACGGCACCGAACGGCCAACCCGATCCGCAGCACCCACCAATATTGCTCAAGGTTTAGCGTTCATAGTTGCGCGATTGTCAATTAAAATAGCAAATATTGTGCATATTTAAGGCGCCATAATAACATGTCTATGTTTTGTATGTCTGCCTTTATACTAGAAGAGGACAAACACAAAACACTCCAAGGACTGTAGCATTTAACGCGCTGCGCTGACAGTGCAACGCGATGCTCAAGAAGGTGTTTCCAACGCTTTGCTACAACGGCACAGTGAAGGCACCTGCCCGTCGCTTTTCATTCTACACCTTATCACCTCCGTGACTGGCGCACATCTTTCTCTGCGGTGGCGCATGCCTTCGTTTTCGAAGATAACTGCCAGATGGTGCTTGTGTTTAATGTGCCTAGATGCACTTGTTTGCCTCCGTTACACGCTCGAGGCACTCCAACACAGCGCCTTCAGAATACCATTCACCGATTTTCTTGCGCAGAACATCAAATAAACGTTTTGTTCACTCTCTACAGACGCAAGAAAATCATCTTTCGACGACATTTACAGTGTAACATGTACATTTGGGCCAATTTTTTTTATTCTACATGTATGAATGTTTGTCGTGTATTGCTGCTTTGCCAACTTGTGACTGGGTTGGTACTTTGTCAATCCCTCAAGCTTTTAGTCCCGTGCTCCGCGACCTATTGAAAGAAAAGAAAGGAAGTCTCTGACCAAAACAACTATAGCTAATTTAAGTGAATTAAACTAGCAAATTTTGCACAAGATGACGGACGTAGAAGACAGTGACCTAATGTGCACCAGAGAGTTGTATGTAATGGCTTATAACAACATGGCGCATGTTAAATCCATTTCTCATTGTCACAGAAAGCCGAAATATTATTTCACCGTCAACCCTCTCCGCAAAAATATGATCACTGACCTAAAAAAAATTACAGTAATTTTGGCAGCTTGCATCTGCTAGGGGACCATAATGGCAGGTATTTGCAGTGTAAAATATTTACAGTGTAAATAATTTTTGCCCCTTTAATATATACAAAGCCCACTAGAATTGCAACTGTTTATGGAAACTTGAGCCTTGCTTTTCCAGGTACTACAAACTTAATGCTCTGTGACCTGTACTATCAGCAGAAGCAAATTTTATTTTGGAAACATAAGTGATAAACAGCCCTACCGTGTTGCAGGAACAACTTGCTGATAAGTACAACTCACACAATTTAAGCAGCAGCTCTATTTCTACATGTATAATGAGTGCGTCAGATACTAATTGCCCAAGTAACGTGCTATACCAGCAACGGTGTTACTTATAACGCGTAACCACCAACACTGCGAAACAAGGCGGGCGTTCTTGCACTCATCACGATTATTACGAAGTACCAGATTTCTCACGGCGTACCTTGCCACATAATATACAGCGCGACCATCCGCCGCTCAGCAGTGTACAATTCATGGGCGACAGACACTGCTAGTGCATCAGATGAAAGTCTTTTGTAGTCTTCCTCATTTTATTCCATCTCATGCAGCATTTTTTCTACAGACAGAGCAACTCCTCTACTAAGTGATCCGTTGCCTCCCTTGGGACTCTTCAAGAGGCTGAACTGAAGCATTAGGTTTTGCAGACAAGCATAATGCAGCGATGCTGGATCTACATTATTTTTTGTCGTTGACACCTTAGGCATTTCAGAGTATCCCAGCGCAATCACCGATTGACGAAGTACTAGTAAAGCAGCTACCGCCTCTGAAAAGAAAAAAAAGGAGCGCACCCGAGCAAAACTCTGCGAAGTGCGCCGCTCACTACCCATGGCGATGCTGCTACCCACGCCTACCCACATTTTTTGAATTTTGAGAATAAAGGCCAAACCCCATAACCGCGAAAATGCTCGCGACGGGACGTAGGTTTCCTTTCCGCGAACAGTCACTAGCGCAGGCAAACCTCATTCATGTGACGACTTTGGCAAGCGAACTCCACTGTTGCTGGCGTAAGGTCGTCTACTCATACCAATAATTCCACATAGTCGGCAATATGCAATGTAGAAATAAAATGTGTTGTATAATTGAACAGAAGGGGTTTATTAATGCCTTGAGGAACTTTTTTTATACGAACGTGTATAAACAATGCGTTATTTCTTCGTTGTGCACACGTGACTCGGGTGAAGAGGCGCATGAGAGGAGGTGGTGGTTTCCGGGCACATGGAGATAACCAACAGTACGTCAGTCATGTACATCCTGTTCTGGCGTTTTTAGCGCAGCACTTCTGGGCGATAGGTGATGGTTTCCAAATCTGGAGAATCAAGCGATCGCGCCAAAACTACCAGGCGACACGTCGCGCGAACGCCCTGTTTCGTTGCTTATAACATCACTCGTCGCTGTCGCGTAGATTTTCAGGTTTATGGGGTTTGGCCTTAAACGTTCCTTTGTTTTGCTAGCTCAGATATATTTTTTTATTTCATTAGAACGAATTTTTGCTTCAATAAAATTTTTTCTCTGCCCAGTCACGGTTTCGTTGATGCGGGGTTCGACTATACCTGTACCTGATGGGAAATGGCACGCATGTCATCGACCCACTTTGCCAATGTGGTCACTAGTCCTGACGATTCTTCATTCAAGACATTGTTTAGACCACCCGCAATTACCACGAGGTTTCGTCCATTAGCTTTACCTGCGAGTTTTGCGCTCGCTTGCCTCATCACCGATTCTAGTTTATGTCCTGGGAACATCCCTTTTGAAACTCTTGCCACCTAGCTCTTACCCTCTCTTTCATTGCTTCTGCGCATCGATTTAAATTCGAGTCCCCAGTAATTATCACGTGCTGTGGATTTTCTGCTAGAGTGTGCCACATCTGGAGGTTACTTGCGTTTGTACTGCCGGCTGCTTTGTCTCCTCCCACCCCCACAACTACTTCGCGGAAGCTAGGTCTTGTGACCATTGAACTGAGTGAACCTGCTTTTTTCAAGCCTGTTTCCCTATATCCACTGCTCTGGGTGCCGGTGCCCTACCGTTCCCGCCGTTGGCTGCTCCTTTGTTCATCTTGCCCACCTTCGCTAGTGTCTCCTCGGCTGACTTAAAATTTTCTCCCATAGCCTTCGTTTTTTCTTCCTCTGTCCCCAATGCAGTCTCCAGCCCGGCGATTTTCATCATTAGCTCGCTTTGAACAACCATCATTTTCTCCATTTTTTTATCCACCTGATGGCACGTTCCCAAAACAGCGGCACACCATCTGGTGACCGCTCTTGAAGCAAAAAGCACAGCTGCGCCTCTAGCGGGAGCTATGAGCAATAGCATACACACTGGCACAACAACGAGAGACAACCCCCAGTAGGGTCCCTACCCCCAGCAAAAGGAGCAAACTCCTAAATAAAGCTCGTGGCCCTCTGGTGGCTTTAGCAGTCTCCTTTACGCTATTTCTTCTGCTTCCTTTCTGCTCTGCACTTCAATGGCGGCATGCAGAGACATAGAGTTTAGTGCGGAGAGGCTGCACGTGTAATGGCGCATCCAGGTATGAACTTTGGCAAGTTCCATCCAGTTTTTTTGAAAGCGTTGCAGTCACTGTTTCGTGCATTCGTAATGGCAGGAAGCGACGAATGACTATTCACCAAAAGTGAAAATTCTGCGTCAATGCGTGTCTTCAGCTTGTGAGCGTAAACAATACATCGCACGGCCGACGTGTAGGGCTCAATGTTCAACCAAGTCCGCAGAAATATTATATTCTCTGTCCAACACCAATTTTAAACTGGGCGCCCCCTACATAAAGGTGAAATGACTTGGCAAAATGAAAAGATGGTGCTTGGGCTCGGGCTTAGTGGCAATGGGCCTTTTTCTGGTAGATAGTCTGCGCATGTGCGCCGGCCTTGAGATGGTATGCGCTATGATTTTTGGTGGCCAAAATCATATAGTTTTCTAACTAGAGGGGACTCTGGCACTGCGATCAGTCAGCGACCATGGGAATGATGGGTAGTACACGGATTTGCCTAGTCTTAGTACATGGGGCAGGCGAATTGCACTTGTGGCTTTGTTTATTGCGGTGTGTCGGTTTTTTTTCGAAAGACGAACCCTTTTTAACTTCATGACCCGATTTGAAGGGGTAAGCTTAAAATAATAAGGTGGTGAGATGCAACCGCTCAACATTTACTGATTCTTGTTTTGAGAGAAAACAGCTCCAAGCCGAACGAGCACACATGGAGCCAGAAGTACGAAGAATAAACAAATAAGTGTACTGCCCATCATTTCCATGCTTGCTGAAGCGCCATGTGTTGCAGCCCCCATAGACACCAGCACCAGAGTTCCCGCTAGTGTATATTAAGGAAAGTCTATGGCCAAAAAGGTGGGCCAAGTGACACCTAGCATGACAAACATGCAAATGTTTGCTCCCAATGAGGGGCGCAAACGCAGGATTTCGAGATCGCCTACCGGCATGCAGCGGACAATTTTGGAGTCCAAGAAACACCACTTTTGATTTCAGAAAGCTTCATTTGGGGTGCTGACTAGGAAAAGGCCCATTCTGATTCGATCAGCGGTGACTGACCCAGTGATGACGTAAATCTGCCGCCACAAGCCTTTTCGCTGGCTCAAGCAGTAATATGCAGATTATGATCATGTAAGTTGAAGCATTGCGTCTTACGACGACAAATCAGGGTGGTTAAAGCAGGAAAAGTTGGTTCTCCGACTTTCTCAGACACTCTCCGCACTGATCATGAGAGTGGGGTCCATGTTGTGCTTGTGAAATGTGCATAGTATCTTTACCGACTATCCTAATAAATGCAATTTGACTCTCTTTTGGGATCATTGGAAGCACACACTGATTATTCTGGTCAATGAAGACTACTGAGCGCGTTGCCCACCTTATCGTTTGAAGGATTTTATTGTTGGCCTTTGTTGGGGCCATCAGAATAAAGCATTTAAAACAACTGGTTGTTCTTGTGCTTGCTTCAGCGGGTGACAAAGCCACGTGCCCTGCATGTGCATTGTCTGCATTTATATTGACACATTTATATACCGTAAATGCACAACCATATACCTAATGTTGGCCTCACATAAAAGTAATATCTAATAAAATACAGTAATTCAGCATACAACCAATCTTGGTGGGCAGCGTAGTCGGTACGTAAAATGTGCCAGAAATGTCCTTTGTGGGTAGCAAAGTTGGTACACAAAATGTCCTGGTAGACCAACTGAGTACGTTTTAGTAGCCTATAAATCCTGAAAAAGTGCCAGAATTGCCCTGGTGAACCATTTGTTGCTGTTCAGAAGATAGGCTGAGGCCAGACAACAGGACCTTTCTTGGACTTCATCTGAACTAGCTGAGCATGTTCTCAGGACGTTCTCATCTTCTCACGAGAACATTTTAAAAACACCTTGAAGATGAGTTTCTGTTGTCTGGGCATACGTGATGTGCACATGACGTCCTCAGCACATATGTTTCGTCCGTTGTCACAAGCAGGAACACTGCACAACCTTCACTGACCTGCAAGGAATTCATCGTAGATCCGTTTTGTCATGGTGCATGAACGCAATTTCGCTGAGCACTTCAACTACTTCATCCGCTGTCTGGCACATGAATATATGCGCTCATTCTATGCACTGTTGAGGCCCCGTGGCTAACAGGTTTCGTACATGTTGCTACTAGTACAATAACCACTGGAAGAGCACTGCGTAGCCAACAACATGGCAAAAAGCACGGACATTCCCCGCCACGTGTCAGTACGAGACCTGCGGAGGCGCACATGTTCCCACCATTCCGCCGCCGCTCCCTGCTAGACCAACTACACTGCACAGCACGTAACCATAGCAACGCCGCCATTTTTCCCAGTAGTAGAGTACCAGTAGATATAGTGCTTAAAATATATTGAAGGCACTATATTGTGGACACCGGTGTTGCAAAGTTCCCACTCTGGAATTGATCAGAATAACTCCGCAATCATTCTATATTTTCGCGACCCCGGAATGAAATGGGGACAATGCTTGGAGGAATGGAATGAAATTATGGACTTCTTTTTCTGAAAATTTGCACGTTTGCACGCTGTTTTTCAAACTTCAAGGATTTGTGAGTCAGAGTCTCAAATTTAACAATGAAGCAGTATTTTAAAAATGGCTTGGCTTGTTGCAAGCCCGGTAAATTTATGTCTGTATTCTTTGTGTAACCGCGGCCCTATGCCGTTGGTATCCGTCGTGCGGGTGCCTGCTCACCCTTCACTTCTTTGTTTTTACTTCTGTCGCTGTCGGTGACTCGGACGCACATTCGAAAAAGTGCTTCTCTAAGTTGTTATGCGTATTGGCGCTGGCGCGATGCTTGTGTTCACTGCAAGCTTTCGTATGCCGGCTTGCGCACTGTTTTACCTAATACTCCACCCTACCCGTCCACAGCCACCCCTTTACAATATCGGTCTACCTTTAGTTAGCCAGAGCCAAGAGTAGGCATCCTGTAAAATTGTGAACGATCTATCAATTCTTAAAAGAGAAACTTACGCATAAGTTAGTGTACAACTGAAGAGAGAAATTAATTATATGTGCACAATGGTTCCCAGTAAAATACCCCCACATGAAAGTGGCGCGAATAATCTATGCACAGCCTGATCTTTATGTCACGAGCATTTAGTACCTGACACACGCAAATAATCATTTGCGACAAAGAAGACATTGCATACCTGCACACAGGCGAACACAAAAAGTTCTTTCCCCATCCATGCTTTCCAGGTGCACTTGACAAGCGTGAGTGCTGATGCGCAGTGCAGCCTAGTGCTATGCATTCGATGCACCGCTCAGGCACACTGTTTCAAGTAATACAAGCAGATCTAGAGGATTTTCTTACCCATTAAGCGAACCTTAGTTTTCTCCATATTCACAAGCGCTCCAGACACGTGGCAAAACTGCTTAGTCTTCTTGAGCACTACTTTTGTCAACATAAAAATATGCCATGTTGTCATTTTGGCATTAACATATTTAAGCTTAAATAATATTAAAACATTACCACTCGTTAAAACATGCTAACCATGCATCGATAGCGGGAGGGTGGTTTTACTGCACGAGATATGTCACCAAGCAACTACGTCTTGACCTTGGTAATGCATTTTGCATACTTTTGCAGTTCATAATGCACCTGATGACATAAGCTTTATGGGGCATTTATTTTTAACCCGATAAAACTATCAAGATTGCCTTTGCTACATTGAGGAATTAAAAAAATGGAATTGAACTGCCCGGCCATTCCCGGATATGGAATGGGTTAAGTTTTTTTTTCATTCCGGGTAATTGAAAGGAATGAAATCGTGGCAAGTTTGAATTCCCTGGAATGGAATTGGAAAGGAATGTAGGTGCCTATCTCGCAACACAGGTGGGAATTTAAGCCGTCCCGGTTGTTGCTATATTACTAGCCTTATAAATTTGTTTTCTTTTTCCCTCTTTTCTGTTTCTTTTTGCATGACCTACTTTGCTTCTGTTTATTGCTATTTCTTTCCTCTGTCTCTCCATTTCTTCCCATTGTTTCTTTGAATTTCCCGTTTTGTCTTCTTTTTTCCATTTTTTCTCACTCTATTTCTCTCCTTTATCATCATCATTTATCAACCCTTAAAGGCCCCTGTTGGGGTATTACATAAGGGGAGAGTATACAAAAGAGAAAAGGAACATTCAAACAGTTATTATTAAAGTAAAAAAATAGAATTTACAAAAAAAACAATCAAATACACGTAAAAGATAATGCACTCAAAAAAAGAAAAAATACACTAAAATCTCAATCCGCTGCACAGCAGCACTCAATAAATTTATTAGTACGTTTCGAAATTTGATGGGGTCACGTAAATCACAACAAGGTCAGGTGAACTATTCTATTCTTCAATGGCTAATGGCAAGAAGGAGTTGAACAAATTGGTAGAGCCATGAATTCTTTGAAGACTGAAAGAGTTTGACAGGCGACGCGTTGCGCGGTTTGGCGGGAGAAGAAACATGTGTCGTAAGTGTGAAAAGCTGTGATAGAGCTTATGAAAGAGGCATAAGCATTTGATTTTTCTGCAAAGCGCTAACGATTTAATGTCTAAGGATGAGTTGATATTTGTGACACTTAGCCAATGGTCGTACTGGGATGTAATAAATTGGACTACGTGGTTTTAGGCAGCTTCAAGTAGGTCAACAAGGTACTCTTACTTTCCTGCCTTAGGTTTTATTTGTATTGTGAAGAGGTTTATTAGCCGTTAAAGGCAGCGACGGTCCAGCGTGAAGAACCGTCCAGCGATCGGCACAGCAACGAACCGAAGCACGAGCCGAGAGAGCCGGGCGTTGGCGATGCTGCTTGCTGGAGGCACATCTTCTTCTTCACAATCGCCCCCGCTGAAAAAAGAGCCATCCTGGCGACCTAAGAAGTTTCAGGGAGAGGCTCATGATACGGTTTTAGGCGGGAAACATGGACGATGTCACGTGCACGCCGGCGCATGTCATCCGATCGGGAAACTGGCTCAATTAGGTAATTAACCGGAGAGGTTTTCTCTAAAACGGTGTAAGGCCCCTCGTACCGGGGGACAAGTTTTGATGAGAGTCCCGGAGTTTGGTATGGGATGGCAAGCCACACGAGAGACCCTGGGGCATAGCTGGGATCCGGAAGAGAGGTGCAACGGTTTACTTTCTGGCGTTGCTGCTCGTCCGAGGTGAACGCACGGGCGAGCTGGCGGCACTCTTCGGCTTGTCGAGCAGCATCGGAAATAGGTGGACATTCTGAAGCATCAGGATGGTAGGGAAGTAGAGTATCAATTGTATGGGAAGGGTCACGTCCATAAAGAAGAAAGAAAGGTGAAAATCCCGTGGTTGTTTGTATTGCAGTATTGTATGCAAATGTCATGTATGGGAGAACACGGTCCCAGTTGCTATGATTAGATGCCACGTACATCGAGAGCATATCACCCAGCGTGCGGTTAAACCGTTCCGTTAGCCCATTAGTCTGCGGGTGGTATGCTGTCGTTTTCCGATGAATGACGTGGCATTCCGAAAGCAGAGCTTCGACGACCTCGGAGAGAAAAGCGCGGCCTCTGTCACTAAGGAGCTCTCGAGGTGTGCCATGTCGAAGGATAAATTGACGTAAAATGAAAGAGGCGACATCCTGAGCGGTAGCGCTCGGTAAAGCGGCTGTTTCGGCGTAGCGTGTTAGATGGTCGACCGCCACTATAATCCACCGATTGCCATCTGATGTCAATGGAAGGGGGCCGTAGAGGTCAACGCCAACGCGATCAAAAGGCTTGGCAGGGCACGGAAGTGGCTGCAATTCGCCAGTAGCACGTAGCGGTGTTGATTTGCGTCGCTGGCAGTCAGGACAGCACTGCACAAATTTGCGTACGAAATTGTACATGCCGCGCCAGTAATAGCGATGGCGAAGGCGTTCATATGTTTTGAACACCCCGGTGTGGCCACATTGTGGATCGTCGTGAAGAGAAGCGCATACCTGTGATCACAAAGTGCGTGGAATGACCAGTAGCCACCGGCGGCCATCAGGAGAGTAGTTGCGTCGATGGAGAAGTTGATCGCGGATGGCAAAATGGAAAGCTTGACGTCGGAGGGATCGAGATACCGGAAGGTTGGGCGTACCGGATAGATATTCGAGAAGAGATGCGATCCACGGGTCACGACGTTGTTCGGTGGCAATTGAGTCAAGATTTAACGATGACAAGTACTGGAGGCACGTGTTTCCGCACGTCGGATCTGGTGGCAAAGGTGAGCGGGACAGGGCGTCAGCGTCAGAGTGTTTGCGTCCACAGCGGTATACGACGCGAATGTCGTACTCCTGGATGCGGAGTGCCCATCGCGCAAGGCGGCCAGAAGGGTCTTTCAGCGTGGAGAGCCAGCAAAGCGCGTGGTGATCAGTTACTAGATCGAACGGGCGGCCGTATAAGTACGGCCGGAACTTTCCAAGCGCCCATACCAGAGCCAAACACTCTTTTTCTGTCACGCTGTAATTAGTTTCGGCTTTCGTCAGAGTGCGGCTAGCGTAGGCTACAACGTATTCTGAATAGCCGTTTGTTGCGCGAGGACAGCACCTAGCCCGACGCCGCTGGCGTCAGTGTGCACTTCGGTAGGAGCCGTCGGGTCGAAGTGGCGAAGAATAGGTGGCGAGGTGAGCAGACGGCGCAGAGTAGTGAAGGCAACGTCACATGCAGGGGACCTGGAGGAGAGGTTCACGTCACCGCGAAGAAGCTGGGTTAATGGTGACATGATGGATGCGAAATTGCGAACAAAGCGCCGGAAATATGAGCATAGGCCTACAAAACTGCGAAGTTCCTTCATGGTCGTCGGCTTGGGAAATTCTGCGACTGCTCGAAGTTTTGCTGGGTCAGGTAATACGCCGTGCTTCGACACGATGTGGCCTAGGATGACGAGTTCGCGTGCAGCAAAGCGGCAATTTTTCAGGTTAAGCTGCAGGCCAGCGTTGGTCAGACAAGTCAAAACCTGCCTGAGGCGAAGGAGGTGCGTAGGAAAGTCGTGCGAGAAAACCACGACATCGTCGAGGTAGCAGAGGCACATATTCCACTTAAGGCCACGTAGCGTATTATCCATAAGTCGTTCAAACGTGGCGGGCGCGTTACAAAGCCCAAAGGGCATGACGTTAAACTCGTATAGTCCGTCAGGTGTAATAAATGCAGTTTTTTGGCGATCGGCTTCAGCCATTGGAACTTGCCAGTAGCCAGGCCGCAAATCCAGCGACGAGAAGAATTCCGCTCCGTGAAGGGTGTCGATGGCGTCATCAATGCGCGGCAAAGGATATACGTTCTTGCGGGTTATCTTATTCAAACGACGATAGTCTACGCAAAATCGGATAGATCCGTCTTTCTTACGCACCAAGACGACAGGAGACGCCCAGGGACTGTGAGATGGTCGAATAACGTCTCTACGAAGCATATCTTCGACTTGATCGTTGATGACGCGGCGCTCTTCAGTGGAGACACGGTATGGTCTTTGACGCAGTGGCTGGTGTAGGCCGGTGTCAACATGATGCTTGACTTGCGACGTGCGGCCTAGTTGAGGTTGGGACACATCGAAGGAATTCCGGAACTCATGCAGAAGATTAAGCAGGTCGGCATGTTCGGTGGGAGTAAGGGTGTCGGCGATGGCGCTGGAAAACGTATCCTTAGACGACTCCTCGAGGGCCGACAGTGATTTCGGGTGGTCGCAGTATTCATCCGGGACATCAACCAAAGACGAAGGGTCGAGATCCTGCACGCGGCCGAGACATTCTCCCGCAAGCAAAGTGACAGTTGTGGAAAGCGGGTTGAGTATGAACATATTGCTTCTTCCGGCGGCAAGGTCAATCGTTGCGAAAGGCAGCGGCAGAGCTCGACGACTCGTGAAGATATCGGAAGGCATAAAAAAGACTGTAGCGTCAGTGTAGGCGTTGCATGAAATTGGAACAAGTGCGAAGTTTTCAGGCGGAATATCGGTGTCTTCATGCACAAACAACTTCGGCGGCTGATGAAGAGCGTCAAGTAATGGGACATCACAAAAGGGTGAAAACTCAACTTCAGCGCATGCGCAGTCGATGACGGCATTATGGCGGGATAGGAAGTCCCACCCGAGGATGACATCATGCGAACAGACAGCAAGGACAATAAACTCCACAGTGTAAACAATGCCTTCGATGGACACTCTTGCAGTGCAGGCTGCGAGAGGCGTTACTTGCTGTGCACTTGCGGTGTGGAGTGACAGTCCAGAAAGCGGCGTCGTGACTTTACGTAATACACGGCAGACATTAGCGGCAATAACAGAAACAGCGGCGCCGGTGTCTACAAGGGCGAAAGTAGAATAACCTTCAACAGTTACTGCGACCACGTTAGCAGGAGAGGGGCGAGGGCTTAGACAGTTCGAAAATGGCGCAGTTCTTGCCTCTTGAACTGCGGTGCTTAGTTTTCCTGGTCAGGTCTGGGCCGGCGACGCATGGGGGAGGGCGATCGCCGACGAGGAGAGGGTGCGCGCGGCGTCACGAAGTCGGGGTCGTTAGGAGGGGCATAGCGAGGTGACGAGACCGGCCCGTATTGCGCGAAGGGTTGGCTGCCGGTTTGCGACGATCGGACATAGTCGCCGAACGCCTGAGGTCGACGGCGGCAGTATCGAGCAACGTGTCCGGGAGTGAAGCAGGCGTAGCAAATCGGTCGGTTATCGGGCGTCCTCCAGGGATTGGCGACTGGTGCTGCCGCCCAAGGTGCAGTGTAAGCAGCCGGGTGCACGGGCTGTGAGCGCGTGGTGTAGGGTGGTTGTGGAAGCCTACGCACAGCGTCTGCATATGTGAACGGCGCTGCTACAGGCTGCATCACTTGCGAGCAGGCGACAGGAGGAGCCACAGGCTGCGCTGCATACGTTAAGGGCGCGGCCACAGGCTGCACGGCTGGCGGATAGGCGACAGGAGGGCCTACCGGCTGCGCGGCACGCTGGCAGTGGGCAAGGCTGGATAGAGGCGGCTTGTGGTGCGCAACAGAAACAGCTTGGGCAACCTCTTCCGAAATAGCAGTGCGAAGCGGGGCAGGTAGACGGGTGGTGGTCTCGTGAGTGAAGGGCACTAAAGAAAGTTGGCGGGCGACTTCCTCACGGACGAAGGCTCGAACTTGCTGCAGCAGCGGTGAATTGTCCGGCAGGGTGTCGAAACTGGACAGTGACTCACCACCATGCTGAGGCTGCCGAGTCAGAGTGCGTTGCTTCTTTAACTCGTCGTAGCTCTGACACAAGCTGACGACTTCGGAAACTGTGCTCGGATTTCTTGCCAAGAGCATTTGAAATGCGCCGTCGTCGATGCCCTTCAGGATGTTTTTGACCTTGTCAGATTCGGGCATGGTGTCATTCACACGTCGACAAAGGTCGACGACGTCCTCAATATAGCTGGTAAAGGTCTCGCCAGTCTGCTGAGAGCGGACGCGCAAGCACTGTTCTGCCCTCTGCTTGCGGACAGCCGGCCGACCGAACACTTCGGCACATGACGTCTTGAAGACGCTCCATGTGGGGATGTTGTGTTTGTGGTTATTAAACCACAATTCGGCGACGCCAGTGAGATAAAATATCACGTGGCCCAGCTTGTCGGCTTCATCCCACTTATTGTTGGCGCTCACCAGTTCGTAGTGCTCGAGCCAGTCTTCGACGTCGGTCCCATCCGCACCGCTGAAGACCTTCGGCTCCCGTAGCGTAGGATGGCCAGGGCAGTTGAACTGGAGCGAAGGCGTCGATGTAGTGGCGTTGGCAGTCATGACAGGTGGTAGCGTGCGGCTTCACAACTCCAGGGTGTAGCAACGGGGATTAACAGCACCTTCCACCAAATGTGAAGAGGTTTATTAGCCGTTAAAGGCAGCGACGGGACAGCGTGAAGAACCGTCCAGCGATCGGCACAGCAACGAACCGAAGCACGAGCCGAGAGAGCCGGGCGTTGGCGATGCTGCTTGCTGGAGGCACATCTTCTTCTTCACAGTATATTTATCTTTATTTCTAATAAATGTTTTACCTTTCCCATCCTCTTCCTCATCCTCATATCTATCCTCAGCACCCTCACTTCCTTTCTCAACTCTTTGCTGTACTATACTATACAAGGCTATGCTATGCTATGCTCATGTTGGAATAAGTTCAAGCACGACAAGGTCAGAATAGAGACCAAAAGAAGAAAATAGGATGAAGCTTTTTTTATCTGTATTCTAACATTGTTGCACTGTTACTTATTCCACAATGAACAGTCTGCTATGCTCTGCGAGCATGCCTGGACAGCCAAGTGGTTGAACAGCTTGCCCTCAGATTGTAAGTACATAGGTTCAAATCTCGCCTCGTGAAGAGATATTTTCCTCTATAATTTTTGTCTTTATCATTATTTCTCTCTCTCTGTCTCCCCTGGACTAGTTGTCTCACCCATAACAGTTATTGCATTCCGCACCTGAGAAATGAACGCACATGTTTTGAGAGTAAAGCAGAAGACGACGACAATGAACACAGCACATGCTGGTTCATGGGGATGATAATTTTCTGTTTTGCAGCCCACAATCTAACAGCTACTCTTAACAGCTCCACTGTTAAAATATGTGTCAAGGTGGAATCACTTTCAGAACCTGTGTGGGGCATAACACTATAAACAAATTACCAAGCACCAAAAATGACACATCAATACTTCGATAAGAACACAGCCCCCACAGGCAGCTCTCACGGTAACTCACATGTTTACAGAGCTACTCATATAAAGATATGTGCTGTAGTTCGATATATTCAGGAGTGCATAATTAGGCTCCATAGATTCACAAGAGTAAAATATTGTAAAAACAAATAAAATGGAAAGTGAGATGACCTTGGTCATACACTCAAGCCTGATTCGATCCAGCAGGCAACACTCAAGTAAATACAAGCGGTTGTAGTGAAGTGTTTACAGTAGACTTGCGATAATTCAAGCTCCGATAATTTATACTTTTGGTTATTTCAAAGAAAACTTAATTTTTTGGTTGGCCCTTTGTTCTTTCAATGTATTTAAAAGCCTCTTAATTCAAACTCCATCGATCAGTTAACGCATACTTTTTGCAGGTACATATCAGAAAATATCTGCTGCTTTCCCACTACCATTTAAAATTTTGTGTGCTTATATAATCCTAAAAGTCTAAAAATCAAAAATAAGCACCTGAGGCCTTCAAGAGAAAAGGCTTTGCAAGTAAACAAATGTTCGAGAAAAAGCACACGCATGGTAAACCGTGATGCTTCTCAACTGGTATAGAGAGCTTTGTGCTGAACGCACAAACCTATAGCAATAAATCAGTTCACAATCTACGATTTCTTTAAAAGGTCCGATAAACAGTAAATGACCAATAAATCTCTGGACTTTACACCTCTGCTTTCTTGTCATTGTGTACGTATAGTTAGGGCTTAAAAAGAGATGAAAATTTTTTTAATGTGATAAAACCAATGTCTAATCATAATGTGTTGTGCCGCCTCACCCAAAGTAACCCATCTGAGAACTTCTAATAATTCAAACTTTTTGATAATTCAAACAAAATTCAGAGGTCCCTTCGAGTTTGAATTCACAAGAGTTGACTGTATTTATTATTCATGTCCAATGAGTAAATGACAAATGAAAACATACTACTAACCTAGCAGTCTAAAATGTTCTCTTTACTTTATGCCACCATAAGGATAACGGCAGAAGGCCATTACGCACATGTAGTCGTCTGTCATACACATTAAAATCGCTGCGACGTAGCTTTTCCAAATATGCACTGGAAGCTACCTGCAAAGCAAAACAAAAGAATATGTTGGGTCTAGGGCAACAATGATCAAATAGCCACTAAAACAAGTGTTGTATTTACACAATATATTTTAAAAAGATCTAAACACCAATGAACAGAGGCTTCCTGCCATATTTATTGGTTCTGGTATCACGAATGAGTTCCCTTTATGAGTACATGGAGCTACGACATACCTGTTCACCACAGTAATGCTGCGGAGGGAATATTGACGATATTTATGAGTGAGAAGCTTTGACAGATGTACTACACAATAACTAGAGGAAGGAGGCGGCTGTGCCAAAAAAGTAAGCAGTGCAAAAGAATACATTGGCAAAGTCTCAACTTGGAGGCAGTTTCCAGCACACGTTAAACCACACAGCGTCAAGTTGCAATTAACTTTTAAACGCACTTGCAGTATTTGGGAAGTGAAAGCTCTGATCTATCACGCAACTAAAGGAGTAGGTGGACAGACAGCCCCGCGTTCCTCATGCACAAATGACGCACAAAACGTACTCACAGGTACGGATGCACATGAATAAGCGTCTCATTTCTTACTTTGCTGTGTCTGAAAAGCACGCGCTTTTGGCAAACGGAGACTGCAATGATTGCAGTGACCTTTGTGCACCCGACAGCTACAGCAGAATCGTTCCAGGTAAACCCCGAGGCCAGCCAATGCGTACGACCTTCCCCTCCTTGCCTCCGCTAGATAAGGGCGCGTGAGGGAGCGTCGCTCCTCTTCTCTAAGCCGAGCAAAGTACGCGTAGGAGATTAGAGCGGGCGCTGCCGCGCGATGTGGCCATTCGCGCTCATTGTGCCATCTTGCTAATAATGCTGAAAACACAATTCCCCCGAGATGCTCGTGAGCAGCGGTAATTGGTAGATATAAGTAGCTTGCCGTTTGAACAATGCAGGATGTGCTCCGGGGTGGCTCTGTGGTTAACGCCTCACTTTCACGACAAGGGGTCCCACGTTCGATTCCGCGCGCCGGAGTGTTCTTTTTTAGATTTTTTTTCTTTCTTGCGTTTTCATACATATATATATATGTATATAGATACGTATACATATACGATGCATGACATCGACGCCGACACCAAAATCCAGCCGAGAGTGTCCACATAATTGCTATCGCAATTATACAATACATGTGGTTAATTGTTCTATCTACTCAAGGCAAGTCTAGCAATGACATTAGGCTAAGTTTTCAGCTATATTTCAACACTACATAATTTACGAGATGTTTGATGCCAGGACAGTCAATATTGTTTCACTTGTCATCACAGCAAAAAGGACCTGCATGGCATTTTCTCAGCTTTCTGCTGAATTATGTACGCCACTTCACCAGCCCTAAAACAGCCTTTTCGAAACCTTAAATTCGGCCATTTCAGGTTGAGGAACTGCACATCTACTACTCTACTGAAGGCAAGTCTAACGATGCTATTAGGATAAGCTCTTCCACTACTACAAGTTTTATGTAGTTTTTCGTGCTAGGACAGCCAATATTGCTTTGCTTGTCAACACAGCAAACAGGAATTGCATGTCATTTTCCCAGCTTTTTGCTAAATCACCTTCACCATTTCACCAGGCCTAGAAGAGCATTGTTCAGGCCTTAAAAGTGGCCATTTGAAAACTGCATTACCAATGGTATCAATGACTTTCATTTATGAACGCTCAGCTACAGATGTCAGGTAAGGCTACAGTTATTATGTAAACATAATGTATGCTACTAAAATACATACGCCTTCAGGTGTAAATGTTACTAACCACACTTTTTATTTAAACCACATGCTGATTATATCAAAGTTTTACAATCTCTATCCTGTGGTGTCACAATATGTCTCATGTTAATCAACTCTTGATATACACTGAATCATTTATTTCTTCTGGATGCAGCACAAATCAACCACAAGAAAAGAAGAGGAATACTGTGAATTATAGTTTTCCAACTTACCGCAGGAAGATAAACTAGTCCTACATCCCTTGGTACATCTTTTTGCAAACTGCGTGCCTGCAAAAGCACAAAATTATATTTAGCTCTGCTGCTCAATCTGCACCACATTATTTTCAGAGACTACTGATTAGCTCCTTACGCCAAGATAACCCAGTGCGACTGTCTATGCTGCAGGAAGTTGCATGCATTATGCATGTTGAAAAGCATGCCGGTGCCACAATGAAATGAGCAATAATTTGAAGACCATGGCATCAGGAAAAAAAAATGACTTCTGGCACAGCTCTACACTGTAAAATTGTACACAGTAAGGTCAGACATGTACCCCCCTCCTCCATAGGCTGCCCCACTCAATTTCAGTCATCATGCCTTGACTCTAAATAAAATTTTTATCACATAGCTTGATTCCATAGTCTGAACTTTTAACAATACATTGCCCAGTGTGTTCTGTACTTATCATGATTATGATCAACCTAGAAAAGAAATTAGAACCTTTGAAAAGAGAACTTAAAAATAGATGTTGGACATAATGCTGGAATGACCTCACATCATATTCAGCTTCTTAAATTAAGTCCTCAAAATACGTGACATCATTCTGATGCAGGCAGGACTCGAAAAGCCTGAATGTCAAATTCTCTACAGTGAGATAACAAAAATAGTGTTCCATCTTCCATGTGAGCGGTCTGGCCAGGACCAGCAACTAGCTGGATCTCGCAATAAAGTAGTTTTATCACCATCAGCAGCATGCAACAAGGTCCAAATGAAATAATTTTTCTATACATTTTCACAACAGTACAGTTGAACTATATGTGCTATTTCTCTCTGAAAACTATGAAAGATATTTTTCAACAATGGGTGCAAGAAACTTTTCAAATGGTCACTCATAAAGGACTGAAATATTTAGAGTAAAAATAAAAACAGCATTACTGAATCTAGAGCTAAAGAAAACAGATTTAATGTGGTACTAACCTGCCACCTTTTAAAAGGTTATTTTCCTTTTTATTGATTGTATTGTTACGAGTAACTTGTTTAATGATCTGTTTCCAGCGCACAGAACTCGACAAGCAAGATGGCACCAGATCAGCATCAAACGAAAACTCACTTCGTCCTCCTCTTTCATGCAGCCGTGTTTAGCGGCTGTTATGTATCATAACCTTCGGCGATAGAAGCACCGTCCCGGTGCTAAATTTCTGCAGATGATGTCGAAGGGGGGTAATAGGGCTTTAGCCGAGCCACGTGAACGGTGTCGCTCGGAGCTGACGATGACTTTGTTGGATCGGTTGGAACAATCTCGTACGTGACGACTGTCACTTGGTGAACGATACGGAATGGTCCAGTGTAGGGCGACAACAGTTTTTCAGACAGTCCCACACGCTGAGTAGGTGACCAGAGGAGAACGAGAGAACCCGGAGAAAAGTGCACGTCCCTGTGATGAGAATTGTAGAGCTGGTGTTAGCGCGCCTGTGAAGCCTGTAGACGGTTGCGGGCGACTTGGCGCGCGTGGTCGGCGCAAGCAATGGCTTCCCCAGCATATTCAGTGGCCGCAGGTAGTAAAGTGTCTAAGGGTAGAGTTGGGTCCCGGCCATATAGTAGATAGAAGGGCGAATAGCCGGCAGTGTTGTGACGAGATGAATTGTAGGCGAACGTCACATACGGCAAATGAATGTCCCAATTATGGTGGTCTGGCGCAACGTATTTGGCAAGCATATCGGTTAGGGTCCTGTTAAGGCGCTCCGTGAGGCCATTTGACTGGGGATGGTACGAAGTAGTAAATTTGTGCTTGGTATGGCAAGACCTCAGGATTTCATGAACGACAGCTGATAAGAACGTGCGGCCACGGTCGGTGAGAAGTTGACGGGGAGCGCCGTGCACTAATATTATGTCGTACAGCAGAAAGTCCGCAACGTCGGTAGCGCAGCTGGTCGGTAGTGCTCGTGTGATTGCGTACCGCGTCGCGTAGTCCGTGGCAACACAAATCTATTTATTTCCGGCTGTGAAGAGTGGAAAAGGGCCCAACAGGCCGAGACCAACTCGAAAGAAAGGCTCGTTGGGAACGTCGATCGGTTGAAGGTAGCCGGCTGGGAGGGCAGACGGCGTTTTGCGACGCTGACAGGGCTCACAAGCGGCGACATAGCGTCGAACAGAGCGGGCAAGTCCAGGCCAAAAAAACCGACGTCGTACCCGATCGTATGTGCGAGAAACGCCCAAATGGCCCGTCATGGGAGTGTCATGAACTTGATGTAGGACAGTGGAACGCAGGTGCGCTGGGATGACAGGAAGTAAGTCTGATCCGAAGGAATCAAGGTTATGACGATATAGGATCCCGTCTTTCATCAAAAACATTCGTAGGGACGGGTCGCGAGGGTCGCGAGGCGTTGACTCCAGTTTGTCAATGATGGCTCGTAAAGAAGCATCCCGGCGTTGCTCTTCGCCAATGTTCAACAGCTGCGACACGGAAAAAACGTCCGTGATAGCGTCAGTATCGGTTGCTTCGTCAACAGGGTAGCGGGATAAACAATCCGCATCCTGATGTAATCGCCCTGTTTTGTACATTACAGAGAAGTTGTACTCTTGGAGGCGTAGAGCCCAACGAGCGAGACGTCCCGTGGGGTCCTTCAGGAAGGCTAGCCAGCAGAGCGCGTGATGATCCGTGACAACATGGAATGAGCGCCCGTACAGGTATGGACGAAACTTGGCGACTGCCCATACAAGGACAAGGCACTCCCGCTCCGTGATGGAATAGTTGCGCTCGGCTGGAGATAGCAATCGACTTGCGTAGGCTATAACACGGTCGTGTCCCCGTTGTTGCTGCAATAGCACAGCTCCTATGCCGTGTCCACTGGCATCCGTGTGAACCTTGGTTGGGGCTAATGGATCAAAGTGAGCCAAGATTGGTGGCATTGTAAGCAGTGTCGTAAGTTGCGTAAACGATGACGCTTGGTCATGGCCCCAGGTAAACGAGGCGTCTTTCTTCAAGAGGTCTGTGAGGGGGCGTGCAATGGCCGCAAAGTCCTTAACAAAGCGTCTGAAATATGAGCACAACCCCACAAATCTGCGGAAATCCTTTGTGGTCCTCGGAACGGGAAAGTTCGTGACTGCACAAATTTTCTCTGGGTCTGGACGCACGCCTTGGGCATCGACAAGGTGACCGAGCACGAAAATTTGACGACGGGCGAAGCGGCACTTGGAGGCGTTAAGCTGGAGTCCGGCTCGACGAAAAACGTCCAGAATAGATGACAAACGATCAAGATGCGAGTCGAATGTGGGCGAAAAGACAATAACATCGTCAAGGTAACACAAGCAGGTGGACCATTTCAACCCTTGGAGCAATGAGTCCATCATTCTTTCAAATGTGGCTGCTGCATTGCATAGACCAAAGGGCATCACCTTAAACTGATAAAGACTATCAGGAGTGATGAATGCGGTCTTCTCGCGGTCCATCTCGTCGACGGCTATCTGCCAGTACCCTGACCGAAGGTCAATAGTTGAAAAATAAGTGGCACCGTACAGGCAGTCAGGGGCGTCGTCGATGCGAGGTAAAGGATAAAAGTCTTTTTTGGTAATTTTGTTAAGGTGACGGTAATCGACACAAAAGAGCCTTGTTCCATCTTTCTTTTTAACAAGGACGACTGGAGAAGCACAGGGGCTGCATGAAGGCTCGATAATGTTTTTCGCAAGCATTTTGCCGACTTCATGTTGTAATATTGCACGCTCCGACGCAGACACATGGTAGGGGCGTCCGTGAATAGGAGTTGCATGGCCATTATTTATGCGATGGGTGACAATGGTCGCTTGGCCTAAAGAGTTGATGGCAAAGTCGAAAATGCTACGATAGCCCTCAAGAACGTGGCAAAGCGCTGCAGCTTGCTCAGACGTGAGGTCCGATGACACCATTCGCTTGATGTCGGCGCACCAAGAACATGATGGAGTGGAACCACTGACTGAGCTGCAGCAATTGTCAACTCTGAAGGGCTCGACATGGTCATCTTGGAGAGCGGTAATTTTGGCCAGGGAGATACCCTGTGGCAGAACTTGGGTGGTGAGTGAAAAGTTGACCAGTGGAAGGAAGGTGCGGTTTCTCTTAATCGTCAGAATTATATGCGGCACAGCAACCCCATGCGTAAGCATCACGGCAGGAATCGGGGCCACCATGTAATCACCATCAGGTACTGGCGGCGTGGAGGATAAGTCGACATGTGTGACAGAGTTAGGAGGGAGGCACATGAAATAAATGCAGCAGAGGCTGGTTTGCGGTGGGCTAGGCGGGTCGAAAAAGAGGGGTAAATCGAGATGGAGAGAGCCAGCTGAACAGTCTATGAGGGCAGAGTGCGTGGCTAGAAAATCCATACTGAGAATGAGTTCATGAGGGCAATGTTCGATAATGGCGAAAAGAACGACAGTGCTTCTCTCCCCAATATACACTCGCGCAGAGCACATGCCAAGAATCGCGACAGTTCCTCCATCGGCAACTCGTACAGCTCGGTTGAGGGTGGGCGTGACAACTTTTCTAAGTCGGCGGCGAAGGTAAGCACTCATAATGGACACATGCGCACCAGTATCTATCAATGCACTGACACGAACATTGTCGACAGTAACGTCCAAAAGGTTCCGGTTCGTTGTTAACGTTAATCGAGGATTCCTTACGAAGGTCGTCAATGCAGCTCCACCTCCAGAAGCTGCACGGCCTAGTTTTCCGCTCGGAGGTGCTGCGAATAGGTCGGGGAGGCAGCACGGCGTTGTGGGGGCGACCGGGACTGACGACGAGCAGGGGACGGTGACCGGTCGTAGCGAAGTCCGCTCAGAGGTGCTGTAGGAGCGGGAAATGTGGTCGGCATTGATGGAGAAACTGATGGGGACGACTGGCGAGCAGAAGTGGCGTGATACTGAGGTGCATAATGGGACGGTGGAGCCCAGCGGCTGCGGCAGTGACGAGCTATATGATCAACGCGTCGACAGTTAAAACAAATGGGCCTGTCATCAAGAGTATGCCATTCGAACGGATTGCGTTGTATGTGAGGCGCAGAAGGGGTACGATAAGAAGGCTCAGCAGAGTATACGGT